ACCTCTTTTGGGTAGCAGAATAACCACAAAAACACATTTTGCAGCTCTAGGATCCAATTCCTAGTGATGGTTTGTTGGCCTTCACAAAACATATTCAGCTAGAAACCTTTAATGGGAGGTTTCTGTTATTACATCCTTTCAAAATCTGATAATGAGACTTTCAATCCAACACTCTCAAGGGTATTTTGTCGAACAATTGAGTCGCTGCCAAAACTATTTGCCCCCATAAGTGTTTTGGGATATTCATCGTGATCGTCAAGCTTTGAGCTACCTCTAGAAGAAGTTATTCTTCTTCTTAGCTATTCTATTTTGTGTCGGTGTGCATGAACAGGTGGTTTGATGTTGCATTCTTTGAGCTAACAAGTATTCCCCAAATAACTTATTGGTACACTCTCTTATTATCAGACCCCAATATCAGCACTACTGCATTTTACTGTTTCTTAATCGCCTTTTGAAAATCCTTAAAGCAAACAAGCATATCACTTTTGTTTCTCATCAAATATAACCAATTAACACAAGAAAAACAATCATTAAAAGACAATATCTGTAACCATACATAGAAGTTATAAAACAAGGTCCCCATATATCTGAGTGCACCAAATCAAAAACACGAAAATGAATTTTACTAGAACTAACAAAAGAACTCCTAGTATACTTAACAAACTCAGAAGCATCACAAACAAGTTCCTGTTTATTTATCTTTTCATACAAGGATGGAGACAAATGACTAAATAGACTAAATGAAAAGTGTCTCATGCGCCTGTGATGTAGAAGCAAAACCTCGTCCACACTCCTCTCAGATCCTCCTGTTCCAGCATTCTCAACCATGGCATGTAGAAAATCGCCTTTGGAATATCAGATGAAATAATACATTTTAATTGGAGTATAATGGCGCTAATGGATAAAAGTTCACTGAAAAGGAATGGGCATGCAAAATATTAGACAAAATAATAGAATTGGTACGTCTCACTATACTCTTACCAACCACAGGCTGTGTTGTACCATCAGCAGTTTGAATACTCTCTGAAACTACTAGATAAATATAAGATATTCACTAGTGGCACCTGTCAACACATTTTAATTGGAGTACAATGGCGCTAATAGATAAAAGGTTCACTGAAAAGGAATGAACTTTCAAAATACTAGACAAAGTCATAGAATTGGTACACCTCACTATACTCTTACCAACCACAGGCTGTGTTGTGCCATCAGCGGTCTGAATACTCTTTGAAACTGCTAGGTGAATATAAGAGAACTCACTAGAGGCCCCTGTCACATGTCGAGATGCACCAAAATTACTATCCAATTTGGTGATATTGTGGTGCATATAGAAGCAAAAACATGTGTATCACAAATAATTTGGGCTGAGTAAGCATAACTAACAGTGTTCCCTTTGGATGACGATAAGATGGATGCATCCTCAGTCACATTACCTCCCGCTCTCTGTTTCATCTTAAACAACTCCAGTAACTCATGATCATCATTAGTAAAGACTACACATATTTTTCCCTTGTTCTTTGTTACCAACAGATTTGTCTGGTAGCCTCCTTTTTCGCATCTGTCAGATCTAAAACAAGGAGAATTTTCCTCCACCTGTTGCACTTTATGAGTAGCCACCACCACTATAACAGTAGCCTGAATTATCCGAACCCACCTTTGGCTTGGCGTTGTTGAATGATATTTGTCAAATATTCAACTCTTTATTGTGCATCTCCTAGCATCCTTCATTGTGTGTCTGTCGGCAAAATTCATAAATACAAATCCACGAGGCCTCC